TATTATGAAATTATCAATGATATCAGTATTTTTATTGGCTTAAGAGATTGTCTCTTGCGGAGTTTCAGAGCTTGACTCGAATAAAGCTCTAACAATCATCCTGTGTTATCGGTTCAGTAGGATCAAACCAATTAAATCATTTACCCTATGTTGTAGGAGATCTCCTAGTTGAAATGCGTGATGACGCATATAGTTGCTGTCTTGAGCATATGATGTATTGAGATGATTGTGTTGTTCATGTACTGCATTGAATTGTGATGAAATGTGTTGTTGTGTTGATTAAAAGTTGGAGTATGTTGATTTGTGTTGTATGTTGTGATGCTAAGTTGTTGTATTGTCAAAGATGTGATGATGTTGTGATGTTCCTAGGTTGCTTGTATACATATAAATATGTTGTTTCTTTTCCTAACTTACCCTTACTTGTTTCCATGTGGCTTGGACTGTGATGATCATATGTGGTATGAGAGCAGGACAAGGATAGGGTTGGAGTGTTGTAGTGAAGGTCATACAGTGGCGTAGGAACTAGATGATTTTGATGACTACTTGTTGTTGGTAGATAGTTATAGTTGCTTGACAAACAACATTAGTTGCATATTTATATATACAGGATTATTGTATGTATATTGCACATACTAGAGTAGTTGTTTTGTTTCATCCTGATATACTTGCAATGTTATACGTGTTCTAATATTTGTAAGTATATGATCTCAAGTTAGTAGTTATATCGTTTAATGTAGGGATCATAGCAGGTCGTTATAAAAATAAGATATAGTTATTATTAATAAAATGGACAAAAATTATATATATATATATATATATATATATATATATATAATATTCTTTCTATCTTACCCTAAAATGATATGATAGTGAAAAGAATTAATATATAATAAAAGTATAAATATCTAAAAGAAATGTGAAAATCAAATCTCTTTTATATATATATTTTTAAAATTTGTTAAGATCTTCTTTATATATATTTTGTGTGTATATATATATATATTTTTTTTCTTTTTTCTTTCTATTTTACTCTTAAATGATATTATGTTTTAAAAAATTAATATATAATAAAAAGTATAAATATCTATAAAAAAAAAGTGAAAATCAAAAGAAAGATCTCCTTTATATTTTTTTTTTGAAAGTTTGTTAATATCTTCTTTATATATAGTATATATAAACTAATTAGGATACGACTATTATATATTCTTCTTCTAACCGTCTCTTGGATGCACTATTGTTTTGTATTTCTTCTTTTCTCTAGGAATGACTCTTCAGCAAAGGTTCGCCAATAATGATAAAAGAAAAGAAAAATTATGGGTATGTTCATTTCTTTTTCTTATTATTTTCATCTCATTGTTCAATTTTTATTTGATATTTCTCTTCCTTGTTATTTATTTATTTATTTATTTATTTATTATTTCTTCTTTCCACTACGCCTTACATATTCTATTATTTTTAGTCTTGTTTTTGAGTATTTAACAAAGGTGAAACATTAAAGACAAATATTAAAGTAATTAGATTATTTATATTAATTAGGATAACTGCGACCAACATATATTATTTATTTTTTATTATTCTTTTCTTTCAAGTTTCAACTATCATTGGATACAATATTTTTATGTACTTCCTTTTTACTATAGGATCAACTCTTCCTCAAGGTTCACTAATGACAAAAATAGAAAATAAATTATAGCAAGTAAATGTCCTTTTTTTTTTCTTCTTCTTATTCATTATTGTTTTCATCTCATAATCTCATTGGTATTTTTATTTTATTGAAATGGTCATCATGAATGACAAGATATCCTTAAATTAATGTTATTTTTATTAGTAATATTATTTTATTCATAACTATCTAATTCTTTTTATGCAGTTTGACAAAATTCAATGTTGTGTATAAAATAATTTGGTTGATAAATTTGAGTCAATTTTGAAAGAGGAAAGATGTTATAAGGTTAAATTTTTTTAAATGTCATTAAACAATTAAACAAGCAGGGAGGAGGAAGGGAGGCCTAAAGGGAACATGCTCCTTCCCCCTTATAAAAATGTATCAAAATTATTATTAAAAATAATCTTATGATCCTTAAAATTTATATAAAAAATACTATATATAAATAAATAAATAAATAAAAATTATCATATTAATTTACATTTTAAAAAATGAATATATGGATTATTGATATATAATGAGTGGAAAAAAGATAAAAAAGAAATATATATTAATAAATTATTTATGATATTAGAATATTTAGATATAAGTGTTAATAAATTTTTCTTATTTCTTCTCAAGTCAAAATTTTTGGTTCCATCCTTGAATACAAACTAACCAATCATCTACACTATATTTTAAATTAATATTCATCAGGAGGTTGAAACTGATATTGATGATTTATTTATTCTTTTTTTTTTATGAGTTCATTATATCAAATATTAAATATTTTTTTTTAATAAAAACATTATGTAAGCTGTTTAGTTTTATATAAAACACTTAAAAAAATTTACTTTATATAAGACATATCGTATTTATATAAGACATAAAATATATAAAATTATTCGAATTTATGTATATACACTCATTATTATTATTATTATTATTATTATTATTATTATTATCTTTATTTAATTTTTACGAAGTAACACAGTTATATATATATATATATATATATTAATAAATTTAAAAATTTAAAAATTAAGAAAAAATATAATACTATAATAATATATGAGTACAATGTTCTGTACAAGACATGGGTCATTACGCTAATTTTTAAATAAAATTAAATATTTTAAATTTTTTAATCAAACAACTTTTAGCTTAAAAAGAATTTTAAAACAAAACAAAATAAAGTCGATAAGCAACTTTTATTTTCTTTAAGATCTTATTTTCAATTTTAATTTAAAAAGAAGTTGGCCAAATAAACTCTCAACGAATATGCTAACTATAAAAGAAAAAAATTAATATATATATATATATATATATATATTATAATATTAACAAAAGGATATCCTGAATTGATATCCACATTCTTTTGAATCCTTTCCTCTTCTTTACTGATATAATCACATCTTTATTTATCCTAATGAGTGAACTTTGCATAATTTTCTTTTTTGTTTACACATATCTTATCTTCATAAATTCTTTAACCAACCACCATGGGTTTGTAACTGCAACATGTTACATTTATTATCAGGCCTTTGTTCTTCCGTTTTTGTTTTTTCACTCTGGCCAGTTTTTTTTCCTTTTTCAAGAGTGGTGTCATTAAACTCATTCTTTAAAATTGTGCACTACTTTTTTCTTTTTATATTTTATTTCTTATTTAAATAAAATAAATAGAAATATGGAGTATTTCAACTTTATTAGTAATAATTATAATAGGATTATACTTTGATATATACAATTTTTGTCTAATTTTATCTTTATAATTACTCTTTTATAAATTACAATTTTTTATTCATTCCATAACCGTTTTTATTTTATATGACTATTTACTATTATATGATTTTTATTATTTATTATTTTAAAAATAATTCATAGAGGTTAGGATTGTAAAAAAAATTCATATTTGTAGATATATGTGGATAATAAATATTTGTAGATAAGGTAGAAAATAAATATTGTAAATGAGCATCTGCGGATAGCAAGACCAATATAAGTATCATAGTATCCTTATTTTCAAATATCCATACTCACTAATATTTAATCTATATAAATATCATTATATATATATATATATATATATAAGGAGAGATCTTTTTATTCTAGGAGTAAGTTTACCTAGACTTATTTTGTTCAATAACTCATCTTTTACATCAACTTTCAATAATCCAACCATTCAATTTAAAGTTCTTAATGTATAGATTAAATCTGCAAATTTTTAGAAAATTTGAAAATCATTTGATACTTCGTTTCATTAATTCAAATCAATGTATAAAATGATTTTATGATTATCCGTCAATTTGAATTAATGAAATGAAGTATCAAATAATTTTCAAATTTTTTAAAAATTTACAGATTTGATTTATGCATTAATAACTTTAAATTAAACGGTTGGATCGTTAAAATTTGGTGTAGAACATGAGTTATGGAACAAAGTAAGTCTAAATAGACTTATTCCTAGAATAAAAAGATCCCTCCTTTCTCTATATATATGTTGACTTTATTATATTGAACTCACTGATATTCTAATTCATAAAGATGCTTTCATTATTGTTTTGAATATAATTTTATTGACTTTTATAATTTTATTTAAATTTATGTGAATTTGATTTTATTTAAATTTTTAATAGTTAAATATCTTCTAAATCCACTTATTGCTATTAGTATAATTACGAAAACATTTAAATTCTAATTTTATAATTTTCAATTATTTTTTTATGTAAACTTTATTTAAATTTTAGTTATATTCAAACTTTTTTAATATAATTTGTTATAATAGGAGTATGTATGTAAAGGAATGACCTGAGTTTAAAGGTAGCATTAGAGGATTTGTTGCGGGTGTAGTCAGAGGTGAGAAAACCATGAAACAAGAAGATTGCAGTGATCATGTGGAGGAAACACACCACCATGGTTGCATTCCTGAAGGACAATCTAAGCCTCCACCATTCTGCACCTATATTTTTACTTTTTATTCTGTTATCTTTGAAACACACACAGGTTATGGGTTATTTGTGACAATCACTTTTTATTTGCTATATTCACGCCGTGGCACCTAAACGTGCCTCCAAATTTGCTCACTTGGAAATGGAGAGGAAAGTGGTAATTACTACTAGTTTGGCTCATGTAAATATTTCATGTGCTATTTCATGTGTCTTTAAAAAAATATATACATAGAGGAGATATATCTGTTCCATGAATAAATTTTGATAAATTTATTTTTTTTAATTTAAGAATTATATCACTAAAATTTGATAAAAAGTAAATTATTAAATAAAATTTCTTTCATAGGAAAAAAAAGACTTTCAAGATTTATTCTTGGATAAGGGACCCGGTGTATATATTTTTAAAGGCACACTAAATAGCACATGTAATATTTTACATAAGCCAAATTAACAGCAGCTACCACTTTCCTTTCCTTTTCCAAGTGAGCAGAAGAGTGGCGTTCAGGTCCCACGGCGTGAATACAGCAAATAAAAAGTTGTTGTTAAAAGTAACTCATAAGCTGTGTGTGTTTCAAAGTTAACAGAATAAAAAAAAAATGGAGGTGCAGCAATGGTGGAGGCTCAGATTATCCTTCAGAAATGCAACCATGGTCGTGTGTTTCCTCAATATGATCACTGCAATCTTCTTGCTTCATGCTTTTCTCACCTCTGCCTACACCCGCAACAAATCTTCCAACGCTACCTCGAACTCAGGCTAGTTTTTTTTTTTTTTTTTTTTTTTTTTTTTTTTTTTTTTTTT